GCGGGGTGATTAGGCTACTCTCTTCAAATGGTTTCACAACAATACTTACCATCATGGGACTGACTGCTTACTGTTTAACATTTTTGTTTACTTCACGTTATTGGGCTAATCAAATGACAAGGGCCGCGCGCCGCGGGGCTCAGTAATGTTAATGGTAATGCTACTAACCGGTGCTCGCTACTAGGTAGGTAGTACTTGGACTATGTTCCATGGCAAAACATGTATAATTACCTGATACGTTTGGTCCCTGGTCCTTTCACCATGACGGGAAGCGATTGAGAACGGAGCAAGTGGTACTGACACCTTTTTGTGCATTACAACCTGGTACAAAGCACCACAGGGCATCTTGTAAAAAGTGAATTTATTGGAGTCAAATCTCTTATATTTTTATTGAGAGGGAATAAATCTAGTTATGAGATCTTCTTCTTCTTGCTTTTAATTGCGAGTCCAACCAGTCTTGGACATTATCGCCTGATGACAGATCACTTCACGCGCCCAGAAATTGCGATGTTGGGATTTGTAGTCATTTCTAGTTGCGTTATTTTCATAGTCACCAGGTTTACGGACGTACTGTGATTTTTTTTTTTACATGAAATGATCTGTTTAAGATTGACAAACATCGTGTGTCATTTCGTGGCACAATTCAAAGGGATGCAACGCTCAGGTGAGTGAGCACTCGCTGTCCTCTGCTGCCATTAGATTCAACTGGTCGTCACGATGTTTGTTTCTACCGTGGCTGCATGGTAGATCCTGCCTCCCTGCTGCATGGTGGCCATACGCTCCTTTTGTTACCCAAGAGTTGAGAAGGATAGCGTTTAATCTGATCTGGAGTCGGCTGAGTTCATTTGAGGACAGTCGTACGTCAAGGAGATAACACTGAGCAATAGAACTCAATGCACGAGTCAAAACTCAGACTCAGATAGCGTTTGATAGTAAATAACTTTACTGGATTTTGCGCAGTCTATAGCGAAGGAGTGTGCTCCCACTCTCGAGGAGACTTGCATCTGTAGCATACGGGCCGTGCTGTCCGTGAAAAGGTCTCCGCTGACGTAACGCGAACGTGGTGTTCAGAGAGACAACGAACCTGACATATTGCAGTGTCACGGATGCTAACACAATATATACACAGCTACAGACAACACAGTTGCGACACAATCAGCACGGAAATATTCATGTTCACGCAATGAGCACACCTTTAAAGTAAGGCCGGGCCGCGCGGCGGTGGAGCGCCTGAAAAATTGAGGAGCAATTACGTATTAAGTGGTATAGCGTCATAAAGCACAGAAGCGCACAAAGCACATTCGCCAACTCTATCATAAAGAGTATACTTGCAAATACTATAAGTTTCTTGCACAGTGTACATTGTGACCACGGATTTTGTATATAGAAGTCACATATATGTGTGCTGTGTCCGCATCTTACTACCTGTGATGTCCCATTATCAAAATCGTTCTGTGATGAATTCAAAGTAATCTTATATAGTGACGTCATGAACACATCTTCGAAATCGGGACTGGGGCCTGGCCCCGGTCACATTACTGACTTCTCTTTCAAATGACCGCTCAGAGGAGAGGGAGTTCTTCATTTCTCTAATCGCCTGCTGCTTCGCCGCCATGTCATCGGTTCCCGTCCTCGGCCCTCTGTTCGCATGTCGTGTGGGCGGACTAAGTCTCGAGAGATAGGATCGAGTATGGGAGCGATGAGGACAGGTGTTAGGAAATGAATCTAGTGTCACGGTTCATACCGGAGGACCGAGAAGTCGAGTTAGGGAAATTTGAGCTATGTGAAAGGCCTCAGAGTCGTTAGATAGCGTGGAGACGCTGTAGTACATATACAGGCCTGTAGTATGGTGCTGTTCTCACAGAATCAGCCCATGAAAAGACAGTGTGTAAATTGAGCAAATGAGGAATGTAAATGCATGATCTGTTTGGTATTTTGAAAAATAAAAAGTATAAATATGCCTTATATAGGTATTTTGTCCTACACTGATTTTATTCAAATATAGCATGATAGGTGCACTTTGAAGGTTAGGTCAGCGATAATGTTGGGAACCGCTCGGAGTGTGCTAGAATTTGATAATACACAACCGGAGAAAACATGCCAGATTCCTTACAGTAGCCCCTCCTTCAACACACAAGCTCACATGACCTATTCATGACATTTTTTTATGGAAATTTTTGTCAAAGCACTTAAGATTATCATAGCATCGGCATGTTAAAAAACCATTCCATGGAATATAACAAAAAGCTGCATCTCAGTCGGTCTCAAACTTACCTACCCCACCTTTAAGTCAGCTGGAACCAGCATTGGTATTTTTTAAATACAGTGTATCTACCGTACAATTGTTTTTCTTTATTAGGACACGTAAACGGAAGACCGTCCTGGAGGCGTTTTTTGCTTTTTGACTTTTACCTTACGAAATGGTCAAATAGAGAGGCGAAGTCACGCCCATCTACTTCCGGTCCATGGGACCCCGGAAGCGAAAAATTATACATTGAATTCAATGGAGAGAGAAAACGTATCTTTTGATCCCGTTTGAATTGTGCCACGAACTACACATATGATGTTTGTCAATTCTTAAACAATCATTTCCATGTCAAAAAAGTCACATTTTGTCGTAAAACTGTTGAAATATATAAGACTATGAAAAAATACGCGACTACAAAGACTACAAATCCCAAATCCCATTCTGGGTCGCGTATGTGATGTCACAGGCGATAATGCTCCAAGTGGTTGCGACTCGTAATTAAAGCGAAGAAGAAGATTTCATAACTGATTATTCCCTCCAATAAATATAAGAGATTGCTCCAATAAATTCACTTTTACAAGATGCCTGTGTGCTTTGTACCATGTTGGTAATCACAAAAGTGATCATACCACTTGCTCGTTCTATCGCTTCCCGTCTGATGAAGGACCAGGAGTCGCTGGATCAGACATATCAGGTAATATCATAGGTAATATACATGTGTGCATGGAACATAGTCAAGTTAGCTACCTAGCTAGTAGCGACGAGTAGCGAGCACGTTAGTTAGCATTACATTACTTAGCCTTGTCATTTTTAGTAGCCTTACCATGAAGTTATTATTTTTATTACATGAAGTACACCAAAATGTTAAACAGTAAGAGTAGTCATCATGGTAAGTATTTCGTGAAACATTTGAAGAGTAGCCTACTGCGGCCCTCCACCGGGTGCTAAGGAAGCAGTTCAGGGAGAGTCGAAGGAAGGCAGGCAGGCAGGGAGCTTTGCATGACATTCTTTCTGGACATGTGTCATTGTGATGACAGTGAGGGTGAGTCAATCTGTTTTGTTGGAAAGACAGTAGTTGAGTGATTAACTGAGAGAAAATTATTAAAAGAGATAATTATTCAGTGTTGTTACTTTAAAGTGTTGTTACTGACCTTTTTCTCTTTTATTTCTTTTACCTCAACCTGTAACTGCTGAGACCCTGAGGAACATGCACACTGACCCTGCTCTGGCAAACCTGATTTCCCACTGTACGTAATAGTATTTGGTTATGGTATATTATTTATATACATCAAAGGCACAATGCCCCCCCAGAGACACATGTATTGAGTGTGATATTTTGCATAGGTCATGTGAAATCATCTTTACATACTAGAAAACTGTAGGAGCGGCAACTTGTTTTGAAATTGAATTTTTAATATCCGATAATAAAGTTGATCTGTTTTCTTATTCTTCTCTCTTCCCAGCTCCATCCATCACCGTTCTCTGTTCCTGCAGGTCCTGCTTGCTAATCAATGCTTTATTTTTTTACACAATTACAAATAAAGTCAATGTATTGTATGACATGAAGTTGTGCTTCATTCTGAGTGAATAATAAATTCATTCTGCCTTCAACTGCAAAATTATTGTGGACTGCACCGACATCCATGTAGCTGCCCCCCCAGTAAGATGAACCAAGCAAAGCTGACACTCAACATACAGCTGTGCTCTTAAGTTGACATGAAGTAATTTGTAGAAATATTGGTAATTATTTGGAAAAAATGACTGACGATGCAGAAAACTTTTTTTATTTAGGAACAGTGGTCAGGTGAAGCATTTATCATATGTGTCACACTTAAAAGGCCAAACACACTGGCCAAACACACCTCGTTTACAACTCCCCAGTTGACAGCCATCACTCCGTCTAAATTGTACCCCCCAAGCACCCTCTTCATGAGGGACGCGCATGGAGTGGATGAAAGTCCCGACCTCAGCACAGCACCAAAATTGCTGGCTGTCAACCTGCCCTGCCTGTGTAACTGCCACTGAGGATTTGTCCGCTGTCCTACGTAGGCTGTCTGGATGGCAGCTTGCTGGTCTCTGCTCAGTCGCATTGAGGCAAGAATTGCCTCAAGCCCCCGACCCCCATGCTCCTTCACCAGCTCCGGCACGGTGAAAATGGCCTGATGTTGAGGCTGCAGCTCTGGCTCAGGTGACAAAAGCCATGCCATGCCACACTGTGTGCCCCTTAGTGCAGACCTGAACCAGTCTACATCCTCAGTGGCGATGTCTCTGGCCAGTGGGTTGTATGTCTCCTCTTGCTGTTGGTAGAGTTGAGACACCGGCTGGACTACTTTTGAAGTGCCAGGCTTCCTCCACTGGCACTCAACTTCTGTGGAGCTGATCTGCCACATGGCAAATATTGCCAATGCTGCAGCGTGGCTGCATTTGTACATCCCCCGTGCACAACCACAGACAGCGCTCTGCATCACGCCATCGTCTCCCATGTAGATCTGTACAAATAAAGCAAGTACCATGTTTGTTAACATGCTATAATAGATTGAATGAGCAATACAAGGATGGTCCGGATCTGGGGGTGGGAGGGTTTATTTTTCCATAGTTTTGTCTTGTTGTGTTATTGTTGGTTTTTTCTGTATTTTTTGTAATTTGTGTTGTATTGGTTGTGATTGTACATTGTATTTTTTTAAATGTGTATGAATACATTTTTGAAAAACATTTGATCAACAACAAAAAAGGATTTGGTCAGTGTGTAGTTTATTAATTAATCAATGCTCTCTACATTAGGAAAACACATACCAGTGTACCAGAGGGAGTCACACACAGCTGTGCCTAGATAACCAAACAAATTGACAAGATAACCAAAATCCTTGAATCTACACACAGCAAATAAACTCAAATGACACAACGAGATGTAAAAGGAGATCACACATACAGTATAGTCGATATAAAACTGGCCGCTTCAATCTGAAGAGCAACTAAAACAAAACACAGGAGTGTACCTTGTTCTTGTGAACACTAATGTTATCCACAGCATACACACCCGTATACACCCGTTCTAGGTTCTGATTGGCTCTCTAGGTTGGCATTCTAGCTTCTGACTGGCTGTCCAGGTTGTCAATCACAGCCGTGGGCATATTATACTAGTCGACTCGTAACATCGCTAAACTTTTTTTCTTGACGGTTTTCTCAGTCAACTAATGCTATTGCTAACAGTAACATAAATTAACACAGCCCTGTACACTGCAGTCATTATATGCCGGGTCTGTGGTTCATCATCTTTTTTTCATTCTCCTCCTTATTGACTGACATTAACGTTAAACATTGCACTCATGTTACTCACCGAAACCTTGTAAAGCCGGTCCCGCATGCTGGCTCTTACAGAACCGACTAACTCCTCTTTCGTGTATGTACAGCTCTCAACGTGCCCAGACTTGTAGTGATTTTCACCTCGTTTTATACTTTTATTCTCATTCTGAAAGAATGAGGTGAAATGTGCCAACGTGACGGCCATCTTTGTGTTGGTGACGCGTATTGTGCGGGACCAGAGACATGTAGTTCACTGAGCGGCTTAACACAAACAAATGTGTTACTTCACAGTTTTACGACACATTTTTATTTTTTTGGCTTGCAAAATGTTCTTTTAAATTGACAAACATCATATGTGTAATTCGTGGCACAATTCAAACGGGATCAAAAGACACGTTTTCTCTCTCCATTGAATTCAATGTATAATTTTCCCCTTCCGGGGTCCCATGAGCTCCCCCGGAAAGGGAGGGACTTCGCCTCTCTATTGCTCAACTTTTGAATCCTGGATATCTTCGCTTTGCTTCCCCACAATGCAGTTCTACGAAAAGCGAGGCAAAGTGACGTCACCCCCATTCAAAGTCAATGGCCAGAGAAGCGTTGGAAGATTTTTTTAAAGCTGCTGTGTGGACGTACCGGAGATAAATAATACAAAAGATAAGGTCACTGAGGACAAGTCCCGTAAGGAGTGCCAGAGAAATGCCATTTTTAGGGCAGGGACATCTGTGAGTTCACCCTCCAAGAAAAAACAGTGTGTACACAGTACTTTTTTTGTACACACCTGGAGTAGGCCTACATTAACCGCTGGTGCTTTAAGCAAAATAATGTGCACCGGACCTGGGGAACAGTTTGGAGCAGAGAGGGGAAGTTGCACCGCTCGGTTCAGGCAGCAGGACTGGAGCAGATATAAGCTCAGATAGTGATTGAAAGTGATGGTAAAAGGATTTAGCCTGGGCATTAACAGAGAGATAGAGAGATAGAGAGGAAAAGGGAGGGGAGAGGGAGGAGGAGGAGGAGGAGGAGAAGGGAGGGTGATATTTTCCATAAAGCCTTTTTTTTCTCCTCTCTTTCTGCCCTTGAGCTTCCCGGGTAAACCCGAGCTTGTAAAGTGGGAAGAGGAGAAGCAGAGGGGGGAAGAAGGGCGGGCACAAGCCTTTCCTCAAAGTCAATATTTTATACTTTTGGTACTCCTTCACGCTGGATTTCAGTTCTCCTTTTCGCAGACGTTCCTAGATCTAGGACACCGATCTACCGGGTGCAGCCTTCCACGGTGCGATAAAAAGTATCCGGCAAACAAACAGCGAGCCGGGGCAGGAGGAAACCCGGAGCACAGTGAGCACCGCGGCGGGGACCAAACACTGGACCATCGGGGCATCTCTTTTTTTTTACCCAAAGAAGGGGGACGTGCACGTACAAAGTGCTGACCTGTTTCGCGGATGCATTTTAGAAGTAAGTGCTTTATCTGTTATGATAAAAAAAAACGTCGATGCATTTTGATCAAGCTCTTTGAAGTGTGCACCGAAGAGCTGCTCTGAGTTATATCCGGGCCACTCCAGGATAACCGGAGTGGTGAGGGGACTTTAATCTCAATGTACACTCTTTCCCTCACACGGATTACACGCTTTAATGTGGGGTATACAATAAATGCGTAGTGTGAGGGGATGCTGCACTCCTGGAGGATCTGACACACCCCTACAACACTGACAGTGCCGGGAAATAGCTTTGGCGACTTCACTTGACAACTGAACTAAGTGAGGATGCACAGCGTTGTTGGGATAGTGACCGTTAGATTATTTATTATCAACGAGGGCACGCTGCAAAATATGTCAACCATATGTATTGAATAAGATAAAGTGGCCAAATTCGGCAATATTTACTTATGGTGCAGTTTATTTATCTGACAGTTATTTATTACTTTAAAAACTGTAGATTTAAGTGACACAGAATACTGATTAGGATTTAACATAAATGTTCCCAAGAAAATAGCACCTGATCGAAGAAAAAAAAGTTGTTTGTATAATTGTCCCTCCTTTTTGCAAATGTTCACACATTTTAAGTAGGCTACATTGCCTTGAAAGCATCTCTTTCAGGTTGATATTGCTTTAAAAAACAAACAGTTGACAGTCCATCTCCAGCATTGTGGAGGTGTGAACAATTACAACTGTGGCACGCGGAGGCGACACCCGGCAGCAGCACGTGTTTTTACGCACAAGGTTATCCTCAAAATACGGAGCCTTTTAGTGTCTGCAAATCTTTATTTTGAATATGCCAATGCACCGCAGTCAGGAGGCAGGTTAAACCAAACCTGCCCAACTTGTTGTAGCCTACCACACATTCACTTAAAAGTTCTCCTTTTATAATCTGTTTTTCTTTCACTGTCAAACTAAATACCACACATTTCTAGATTATACTCAAGGAATTAATTATGCTACTAAATTTGATCGCATCCCACCCATCTGGATATATATTTCAAATACATGTCATTAAACCTTTACTCATGCAAAAGAGAAAAAGCCATGCATGATACATTTCATCTCCAGCTGAGCTTTGAAAAATATATCCTTGCATTTACAGCAGGACTCCGGAAGTGCTGAATTGATGAAGCTACACCCCTCAGACTAACTTCTTATCACATTTGTCCTCATTTTGCCCCAGGACAATCAGCGGAGCACGGTCGGTGCAAAACCTCCAATGGATATACCTGAAGACGCAGCATCATCCACCCGGAGCAGCGCCACTGTTTCCCTGCGGGACTCAGCTCTCTGAGGGCATGGACCCGCGTTAACGACTCCCACCCAACTCCCCTGCAACACTATGGTTAAAGTGTATGCCGAGATTAAGCTCTGTAACATTATCCGCCTCTCCACCCATCAGAAACAAGGAAGCGTCCCTCCCTCGGCAGTTTGGGGACCGTCAATATCTGAGAAGAGACACTGAGTTACAGTCACAGATCCAGTGTCCTCCTGACATATAGGGGAATCTAAAACCCTGGAGGAGAGTTGTGTGCATTTACATCCAGCGTTTCACTCTCAGTACAGCAGCATGGCGGTGGGGATGTCCGTTATTTCCTTATGATCTCCGCTCCATGCGCGTCACCCCTTCTCTGAGCTCCGTGGCCCCCTCACCCTGCGCCGGACCCGGCTCCAATCACCACCCTCCCTGACCTGCCATGCTCCTCCAGGCCGTGTTTCTGCTGCTACTGCACTGCTTAGCCTCCACGCTGGGCCAGTACGAACTGTGCAAGTCCCTGGTGAGCACGGATGAGGGCCCGGTGTGGGAGCAGTACGCGTGCCAGCCGAAAACCGCGTCCATGAAAGACCACATGCGGATCAAAGTGGATCCGCCAGGAATAACTTGTGGAAACCCACCCGAGAGGTTCTGCACTCTGGTGAGTTCGAAATCTGGACTTTTACTGCATTTAACTACTTTTTGATAACGGTAATGTAGAGAAATAGAGATTTAAAAGTGTAAAGAGTTGCTTCACATTTCCAGAGAAACATTGGTTGCTCTTCACCAAAAATCTTAGTGTAACTTACTTTATTAATGACTAAAATGCATATTTGAAAGTTTATAAAGGGGCTCCACACTTTCAGATAAACATTGGTTGGTCTTCATTAAAAAGATAAGAGTTTTAAAGTTAAAAACTATAATCATGGGAGTCTAAGGTCTCGGAGTAAAATCTCAGAGAAAAATATATAAAAACTATCACTTTAATTAAGGTTCGGCACTCTGATGAGTTAAAAATCAGGCTTGCAAATCCAACAACTTTATTTATAACTGTAAAACACAGAGAAATACATATCTGAACGTGTAAAGAGCTGCTCCACATTTCAGACGGACATTGTGGAGCAATGCTTTTTCGTCATATGCATTGTGTGCGTGACATTACAATCTTTGAATTTAATTGAATTTGAATTGAATTGGTTGGTCTTTATTAAAGATCGAAGAGTAAAAAGTCAATAAATATCAACTTTCATAATGACTAAAATTGATATAAATACATATTTGAAAGTGTGAAAAGGGGCTTAATACTTTCAGACAAACACTGATTGGTCTTCAATTACAATCTAAGAGTAAAAGCAAAAGCAACTTCCTAAATGACAAAAATGTAAAGAGATGTATATTTTGAAAGTGCTCTTTACTTTCAGAAAACAATGGCTGGTGTGCATTAGAAATATAATATATAATATTTTAAAGTAAAATAAATATAATTTTACAAGGTCACACAGGCAGTAACTACAGAAAAAAGGGTCTAATAAAAGTCAGAGCAGGATTCACACTATGAAAGCTATAGGGAGTTAAAAGGGATGACATAAGTGCAATGACTCGGCAGGAGGTGCTGAGGTGTTGTTTACATTAGTATGGACCTGGGATCCGGTTTGTTTGGGCTTCTAGAGGACCCACCATTTCCTCTGGTAAAATGCATATATAGCGGGACCTTTTTAGTTCCAAGGACAGTGAAGGGTGAGTTGGAGGAAAACTCGTTAAAATGTCTGCTACAGCAATACTTAACACACTATAGCCTTGGGGGTAGTTCCCATCCCGGATAATGTAAGTGTAATAATTTGAAACAAGGGTTATAAAATCATTATAATCCTAAGAAGACTGCAGTTAAACATCCCCCTGCCTCTTCAGAGGAAAAGTTGTATATCTGAGGTTTGATTCACAATCTGTGTGTGTGTGTGTGTGTGTGTGTGTGTGTGTGTGTGTGTGTGTGTGTGTGTGTGTGTGTGTGTGTGTGTGTGTGTGTGTGTGTGTGTGTGTGTGTGTGTGTGTTTTTGTAAACTTTTATGTATGCACCATGGCATCAAATCAAATTCATCGTACATGTCAACCTAACTGGTAATAAACCTGTTTCTGATCTGATTCTGTGGGTGTGTGTGTGTGTGTGTGTGTGTGTGTGTGTGTGTGTGTGTGTGTGTGTGTGTGTGTGTGTGTGTGTGTGTGTGTGTGTGTGTGTGTGTGTGTGTGTGTGAGAGACAGCAAGTTTCTCCTCATGATAATCACTGACTGTCCACTCTCTCAGTTGGACAGTGTTTGAGGTGTCAGACCAACAGCCATGACTCAAGA